CTCTGTTTGTTGATTTCTAAGAGGTTATCAAATTCTGCATACACCACACAATTTAAAGTAGTAGCCGTATTGTTCGTAAATTGGACTTCTACTCTTAAATTTCCTGTTTCTATGAGATGGAATTTATCCGATTGGGCTTCTTGATCTTTTGTGAAATCCCAGCCCCATAAAGTGTATCCGTTTTTATACTCTTCTAAGGTAATGTCCGGAGCCCAATCTTCTCCTAATTTTCCCAAAGCTTGATATATACTCAGATAAGATCTCAGATATAAATCTTCATTAAAATTAGGTTCGAAACAACGAGTCATCATGGTCTCTCCATTGATACTAACATCTAATTTTTTAATCCCAAAATTTTGAAAATTAAAGGGATTTTTAGTTTTATCTCCATTAAAAGCCGCATTCTCCACAAACCCTAAAATGAGCCTTTTTGGCATCTGGCCTTGAAACAGATGATCGGTAATCTTAGATTGAGTTCCTGTAGGTATGGTAAAACTTTTGACTTCCACTCTTCTTAATGGATATTTGGCTCTGTAAGTATTCAAAGTTTGATTGATCTGATTCATTAAAGTAGGGGAAGGTTTCACTTTTCTCACCCACAAGACCATACTTAATATTTTGACTTTTCCCGTATTGGGTTGAGCCGTCATCATGTAGAAATCAGGTCTAGCTCGATTAAATCTCAAACGGACGTCTACTCCATTCGGTAGAAATCGATCTTGTTGAAACAAATCCAGATGTAAACGATCCAACAAAGTAATTTTCTTACTAGCATCTATGGCTTCATGACGTTTTTTGTATCCTTCGTTTTTAGAATTGGCTGGGTATGCTGGGATGATGGGTTTGTTAATGGTCACAGTATTATCGACAGCTACATTAAATGTCTGATTAGCATCCACTCCCAGAGCTGCTAACCCCCTTTCATCCATATGTCCTGCCGTATCTTTTTCCCATAGACTACAGGCTTTCATTTGTGTGGCTAAAGTTCTGGGTTTATAAGACAGTAATTTCTCCAGATAAGCTTTGTAAGGATAAGTATCGGTGCCTGGAGTGATTATTTTTCCATTGACATTGACATCAATTTCCGTAAACATGGAATGTAAGATATTATTCACTGGGGCTGTTTTAGCAGGATCTCCACCCAGATCACTTCCATCATTTTGGACAAATTGACATACCATTTGAAGATAAGTTTGAGATAAATCTAAATATTGATCTCCTTGTCCTTTAATTTCAAATTCGATCGGAGCTGTCTCTGAATCTAAAGTACTAGAAATAGGGTAATATTCTTCCCATTTAGACTCTTCTAAAGCAATATTAGTGGGAGGGACTTGGAACAATTGTAAATTGTCCATCCCACAAGCACAGGAATCGGGTTGTAACATGATGTCTGTCTACCAAGATTGATTTTTCACAAATGAAACTCTTTTCCCTCACACTCCTCTATTTATAGTCTCTCTCAGTCAAAGACATCTAAAGACCTTGTTTTCTTCTTCACTGGGGCTGTTAATGGTACATTACCTCCTTGATTTTTTCTTTTTCTTTTAGGACCTCCTCTAGCCAACAGAACTCTTTCTGTCTGTTTTTTTCTTTTTTTCTTACTATCTCCTAGATTCATTTTTTGTTTTACCATTCCCGACGTATTTTTCAGGGCTTGTATTCCGTGAGTTTTGATAGCATCTTTTAAAGATCTCTTATTTTCTAACACATCTAACCCCGTTCTAGCAGCAGCGGTCAAGGCATGTTTAGCTCCCGTTTTCAGTAAATCCGTAAAAAATCCTTCCCCTCTTTGATGGTTTTTGGGGGGTGGATAATAATAAGCTGGTGGTGGTGGGGGTGGGGGTGGTTGCTGTTGACCCCCTCCTAATATTCCACCTAATAGATTACTGACTAGTGGACCTGCTAATTTTAACACCGGAGCTAAAAGACCAAATCCGTGTCCTTTTTGTCTTAATAAACCTTTATGATAAGTCCAACCGTGTCCTCTCTGTCTTAATATTCCTGGATGATACTGCATGGTGATCACTGTTCTTAAAAACTGACTTTTCTGCACTCTGAGGACTTCCTTTTATACCCCTTCTTTTTTTAGGGCTGAATACAATATAGACAGCATACCAGACAAACCATGACTCCCAATAGGATGTAACAAAAAAGCTGTACACTCATCTCAGTACACTTTTCTAAAATGAAGTTTGACTAGAGTTTTTCCACTTAAAAAGGGCATGGGTTTTCCTAAAGGTGTCATGATGTGTATCTCAATGGTATCAAAATGTTTTTTACTCAAAGGGAGATATTCCGCACGGATGGGTTCCCATTTACATTGATTGTCTTTGTGTTCAAATTGACAAGGGACCACTCTTAATAATTTCAAGGCATTCGATCCTACGGTCTGGGGTTGAATCAGATCACAATACACATACATGGATTTTAAATTTCGATATAAATCTACAGTGTCTGGAGCCAGATAACTGATGTTAATCCATTTGGTCGTGTCTTCTGTCCAATTTTCCGGGACTAATTTAGAATCATGAAATCCTAATTTATAAGCCAGACTTAAGGGAAGACGTACAAAGATGGGAATTTGACGTAAATGAGTGACATAATTCACTCGATTGAAATCCTTCCGATAATTAAATTTCATTTCAATTTTTGAGGGTTTTTCTTCTTCTTCTTTCAGGTCTTGTATCACTGTCTTTAAGCTCTGTTTTAAATTTCCATACACATCATCATCGTCATCACTTCCTTGATCTGTGGGGTTTTTTTTCTCTGTCCATTTGTGATACTTTTTCCAGATTTTTTTCATGGTCTGTACTAAACCTTCATTGATTTCTGCCAGGATAGCTGTAGGGTTAGGATAAGGTCCCGGTCTAAATCGAAGTCGATACAAATTCAATTTCTCTTTAGGATCATAAGTACCGATTAACCAATAAGCTTTACTCCAATCTACTAAAAGCTGGGTTTGTTGAAAATTAATGGGAGTACTTTTCAATAATTGAAACCGTCCCCACTGGTACTTATCGGGGTCCTCGAGATCCAGTTTCTCAGATGGTGAAACGCCTTTAAAAAAAGGTGGAACTTTTTCCACTATACACACTTCGATATAAGATTCATCCTGACTTATATTTTCTATACTACAAGGATAAATCATTTCGGTTAATGCTACTTCCCATTGACCATCCGTTAAATCCACAGATTGTGGTAATAAAGTTTTAAATTGAGCGGTCGTATTCCCCGGAAAAGATTGCATGGAGCTATCACTGGGTAATGTCATGTAAAAACCACTGTTCTCAGCCATGTTTAGTAAGAGACTGAGAGATATTTACTTCTGACCTTTCTATTTATAATAATAATAATTTATACACATTTCATTTTATGATTTATTTCCTTCATATCTACATAAGGGACAAAGTCTGTAACAAGTCACGACAAATTTCTCGACACATTTCTCACAGCAAGGATATTGTCGACATTGTTGACACTTCCATCTCCCCTCCGTATTTTCCTCCCAGCAGGTCAGGCATTTCTTTAAAGCTCTTTTTCTTGTTACTTTGACCCATGGGGGCACCATATTGTCAACCCCAAACTTCCATGTGAAATATTTAATGCACCAGCTACATCCACAGGTCTCCATAGAAGGGGGATCATCCACAAACCAGTGAGGAAAAGTCATTTCACAATGCTCGCAAATTCGATAAGTTCTGTGATGCCATCCTGGATAATCATACACCGTAAATGCACGCCAATGGTTGATTTTCCTATCACAGTAATGACAGTAATACTTTTCTACGTCAATCAAATACGCCAGTCTCCACGAAAAAATCATGATTGAGCGCAGTGTACTCAAAACTAAGCTTTATATACCTTTTTTCTGTGTTTTATTTTTAGAATTTTGTTACTATATTTATTTTTTTAAGCACGAGATCTTATTCTGAAAACACCTGTGCAATACTGCCGTGTGCAAAAACTTTTTTTTTTTTTGCTGAGTCATTCATACACAGGTAATACACAAATCTTGGCATCGATTCAAGTATATCCATTGTGACGTCATTAATCACACTAAAAAAAATGTGATACAGATCAAAAAAATAAGACTTGTATTTTTTGTGTGTGTTTTTTTATTCACAATAACAACAATCGTAACAAAACAATCATATTAATAAACATTCAAAACTTTTGTACACTTCTTTTGTTTCATCTATGGGAAAAGATCTTCTCATGTACAAATATTCTGTTTCACAAGCACAGTCCATGATACTGTATCCTTTTAAGAGCACTTTCAGATAATCTTTAATACACTCTTTGGCTCTTTCCATCCATTTTCCTTGAATCCAGGTCCTTTCTGGTCCCTTTTGTTTGTGAAACAAGACATATTTCACTTTCCATTTGAATTCCTGATACTTAGGTTCCTTTCGACCCCCTAATAATGCCATCTTATGTGTTATTACCCATGGATGGTCTGGAAACTTCATTCTCTTATACAGGGTGGCATCTTTTTGTTTTCCTGGATTCTTATCTTTGAAATCTTGAATACATTCTTGTTTGTTTTTCATCCATTCTCCTTTCTTAGTAGAACCTTTCATTTTCCAACAATACTCTGAGCTTAAATACTCCATTGTATTTTTTTTTTTGTATGTGCTCTGTCTCTCTGTGAAATCAGAAATGATCAATTTTTTTGGACTTGTTCCATTTTATATACTCTAGGGTGTTTCTATTTTTAGACTCTCTGGATTTGTATCTATTTTTATATATACTCTATTGTGTCTCTATTTTTAGACTCCCTGGATTTGTGGTCTTCTTAGGGGTATGATGTATCATCGTAGGACTAGGCATAATGTATCCTACGGAAGAACTCACACAGACCATCCAATATTCTCGATTAGTATCATGTAAAGCTAACATGACCACACTGGTAATGATGAGAGATACACAGATGAATAATTGTGCAAAATAAACAATTTCTTCTCGAGGCACATTCTCTCCACAAAATTTCCAATGAGGCGTTATTGAATGAGATCCGTTTGGGGAATCCATGAATCGAAACTAGGAGGATATCCTTTCCACCGCACTTTGACTTCTTGAATGATTTTTTTCCCTACACGTCGCTTTTTATACCCCAAAATTTCTTCTACTTCGTACACATCATCTTTTTTATTAATCTGTTGTAATTCTTTCTCGTAAAAAGTGCCTTCTAATTCCTCACCATGATCATCTTGGATTTTATACACATAAGGATATCTTCCAGGCACTCTTTTAGAAATGGTAAACAATTCTGTAGTCCAATTGGGTAAATATCCTTTTTCAAAAGTGCGTTTAGCTTTACTAATGCGGACCCGATCTCCTTGTTTAAATTGAGGTTTTTTAGAGAATGTTTGAGATTTTTCCCCATATAAAGTTTTCCAGACTTTTAATACATTAGAGGCATTCACTTGAGCTGGTGCTCTTTTAATACTTCGATGATAAGAATGATTGTAAGCATATACTAAATCCGGTAAGACGTCTACATATCGTCTGGTTTTATGACGAGTGAAATAACGCCACATGCGTGCTTTGAGGGTTCTTTGAAATCGTTCCACGATACTAGCTTTAGTGTCCGTATTACGAGTAGTAAAAAAATGAATGGATTTAAAAGTGTGTAAGAATTCTTTATTGGTAAATTCTTTGCCTTGATCAGATTGAATGCGGATGGGACGTCGTCCGTCTTGTTGAAAAATCTCTTGTAATCCTCTAATCATTTCTTTTCCTGTTTTCTGTTTTAAAGGCACTACCCAGGCATATTTAGATAAGACGTCAATGGCACACAGTAAAAACGTATATCCATCATTATATTTCTTTAAACTGGACACATCTGCTAAATCTAATTGCCATTGTTCATCTATATCGGTCACTCTAGTTTGTTGTCTGCGGAATTTTCTTTGAATGGGTTTATGTAAAGTATAAGTATCTTGTTCTTTTAACCAGTCTCGAATCTTTTTCAGGGAAATTCCTAAAGGTTTGACCTGACGATACAAAGCTTGTATTCCTCCGTACCCTCTTTTAGGATCATAATAAATCTCTTTTAAAATATCTTCCACTTGTTTCTTTTTCATTTCTTCTTAGGTAAAGGAAGCCGATTTTCTTCAATTTTTGCTAATTTCTTTTCTTCTTCTTCCAGTTTGGTTTTTAATTTCTTTCGAGCTAAAGGACTATATTTGGATCCTACTCTTGTCCCTACAGGGTTGAAATGGGTTTTTTAATGACGGTTCCTGGATCTTCTATAGGACTACTTACTGGAGTATCTAAAAAGGAAGAAAATCCACTATCGTCTCTTTCTTGACTTTTAGGAGTACTGATTTTTCCAGGTTTCTGCATGGCTTTTATAAGGTTTCCATTACTCAGGTATTCCAAAGGAGTACGGGTCTCTTTTAAAGCTTGAGCAAATTGTTCTAATCCTGTAGGAACCGGATGATTTTTACGAGACTGAGATCTCATACTATCAGCCATTAAATCCACAATGTTAGAATCGGGAACTTTTTGACCTCGATAATTAATTTCACCTTCTTTATTCCAAGTTAACACTTTAGGGTTTTTCTTTAAATGATTTAATAATAATCCAGCTTTTCTTTTCATGTTTTTATTGACGGTTTCAAGAATTTCATCGTCAATCTCAGCTGGGGTTGCTGGTGATCCTGTTGCTGCTTCTGCAGGGGATGGGGGTACTGGTGCTACTGCTGGGGGTGCTCCATCTGCTGCTGCTGCTGCTGGAGCTCCTGCTGCTGCTGCTGCTGGTTGAGCTGATGGTTGAGCTAATGGAGTTTTTGTAGGTTGTTGTCTAGCTTTTTCTAAATAATTTCTATAGCGATGAAGTTCTTGACCATATAAAGCGACTTTTTCTTCTGGGGTTAAATCTTCACGTCTTGTAATGTCCTCTAATTCCTGACCTAAACTGAGAGTAGTTTGAAATTCAGGAGGTTTGGGTAATTTTCCTTTAAGTTCATTCAATAAGACTTCAGGAACTAATACCATTTTACGACTCATTTTCCCCCTAGGAGAGATGCTGCTCCTATAAGTAAAGGACCGAGTAAAAGAGGGAAGAGGCCTCCTTTTTGCTGGACTAACAAAGCTCGTCTTTTCTGAATAGATTGAGGTTGAATTAGTCTCCTTAAGATGTGTTTCTTTCCAGCTAGTTTTCGTTTCTGAACCGAACTGAGAGGTAACACTCCTTTTAATAGGTTGTACACAATCTCACAAATCTTCAGAATACAATCTCCAGAACAATGTTTTAAAATACTTGTCTTTAAGGGTGAAGAATAATGAGGGTTAGATAACACTCTTAAAAGAGCCCCATGAGATTTTAATCTTGTAGAACAACAAGTCTTCTTCTTCTTCTTCTTCTTAGCCATCCTTTTCAAATAATGAAGAGGTGTCCCTCAGTGTGTCCTCCTTTTATACTCTTTTAAGGAGGAGGAGCATACATGCCATGTTTATCTTTCTCATGTTTATCTCTATTTTTTTCGGTGACATAGATTTTGGAACAATATCGGCATTTATATCTCATTCCTTTTGGAAGTTTAGGTGTAGAAGCAGATAAAGGTTGAAAGCGGGCTATTTTAGGAGTCTGTATGGGTACTTTAATTCCAGGAGAAGGAATTCCTACATTAACTTGAGGAAATAAATCCGGGGCTCTTTGACTGCCTATGGGTGCCATAGCACGATCCATTCTCATTTCAGCTTGTTTCTTTAATAACTCTCCAATAGTTTTTTGTCTTTGTTCTTTATAATACTGATTATTTTCATTTCTTAGACTTTTAGGCATAGCTTTACGTTGAGCTGGAGTTTTAGGTGGACCTGGAGTTTTTGGATTTTTTCTTTTCTTCTTCTTCTTCTTTTGAGTAGGTTTTTTCTTATTGTTTGACCCCCCACCTAGTCGAACCATCCAATTTGGTAAAACTCTCTTTTTTGTCTTTTTGTTCTGGACTCTTACCACTACACTTTTCAAACGACGAGCACGTCGTTTTTTAGGGGTATTCCATTTAAATAAATGACGAATGATGACTCCTCCTAAAAATCCTGCTCCGCCACGTTTTAAAATAGCTTTTTTTCTGTCTTCCTCGGTAGCTGATTTATCAGCGATGATACCTAAATCTTGACGATGATGATCAATAAATCTCTGAGTCTGTTTATTAATGGGTAAGACTCCTTTCATTAAATTTCGAGCTCCCATAGCAAACCAATTCAATAAGGCTTTACGCCCTAATTCAATTAAATGAGCTCGCTTAGCAGGATCTTTTTCCCGCTGTAAACGTCTTAAAGTTTTCACTAATTTACTCTTGGCTGATGGTGCCATGATGAGAGTTGAATGATAAATGACAAGGGTGAGGATGATACATTTTTATTTATACTCTTGAGGCATGTGTATAGTTAACCATTCAAACAATCGACTTCTCAATCTGTATTCGTCTGGGGTGTGTGGACTCAAATCCACCAAGAGATACCCATGAGGAACATTGGTGGCTTCTTGATAAGCGGACATCAAATGAGGTAGAGCTAACTGACGACTTAAGACACTGATTTGAGATTTGTCTCGGGGATTTTTAAACAAGACTAAATAATGAGCATTCAAACTAATGGTGCGATGTGATGCTGCCCTATCAAATAAATTCTGAGTGATGTAAATCACACTGGTATTCCGATGATGAGCTTTACGGGTAAACCAATCCACGATCGATTCAATGGCTTTTCCTCCCATCATGTCGTCAAAAATGAGTAAGTGTGGTATATTTAAATTAGCCACTAATTTCTCATCGTCTTCGGGAATATTTCGAATGAAAAACACTCGATCTCTTAGAGAAGTGTAAGCAGGTTGCCATTCCCGATAACACCACACAATTTTTTGTGGGAGGGGGGTAATCCAATGTAAATTTTCTACTAATTTCTTGACAAATTCCGTTTTGCCAGATTTAGAAGGTCCTGCTACCACCATGGTAAATTCATGTTTTAAAAGAAAAGAGGGGAGAGGTGTCTCCTCATGTTGCATGATGACAAATGAAGACAAAGGTAGTTTCATTGCTTTATTTATAGTCAATAACAAATCATTTTTTAATAACCATAAGGTAAAGTGTTATAATCTTTCAAAATCTGTCTCTTATCGTAAACAATTCTATATTGTTTTTCTAAAGGTACTGTCTTGACTTGATGATCTCGGGTCCTCTGTATTTTGTAAGGATAAGACACTGTGACTTCATCTATTTCTTTCTTGAGCATTTTTTCTAAAGTCTCTAAGGATACGATATTAGAAGCCCGATAATTGAGAGTTAATCCTTTGACTTTAAGGCTGGAATTTCCCTTGGAGGTAAGGTAAGCATAATTTTTGGGACCTCCAGACATGAATTTGATAATGTGATCCCCGTCCAACTCATCGGTCCATTCTCCTAAACTGTTTCCAAGAATCGGATTAAATTGTCCTTCCTTATGTTGGTATATGATACTATCCGTATCGAAATAAAGCACCCGATCTCCTAAAGGTTGTAAAGTCTCGTAGAGGTGTAATCGGGCATGAGCGGTAGTGAAACAGGCCAGTATTATGTTTCCAAAGGGACATTCTTCTACAAATTTATTTTTGTCTTGATAATTGACTAACATCATATCTAATTCCGGCTTTTCTTTATTTTCTAAGAGTTGGATCCCTTTAATCTCTTTGGTCGAATCTTGTAAGAGTTGATGTAATTCCTCTTCTTCCGTTAAGTATTTCGTTTTTGGTAATAACAGACGTTGAGCAAATTTTCCCCACAAACAATTTAAAAAAAGTTTAGCTATGGTTCTTCGCACTGGATTTTTTTCAATACTTAACCAATCCATTCTAATCCCTTCTTTTTCTAACACTTGACGAATGTAATTGAGTTGCTGTTCTTCCGTCTGACACTCCGGTGGAAATCCAGACGCTTCTCGTTTGATCTTTAAAAAAGTATCGATGTAAGGTCTGAATAAATCTGTGCTGCTTTCTGGAAAATGCCAAACTTCGTATATCTTCTCTAAAGTATACCCCATGTCCAAGGCTTTGTGTAATTCGGTGGTCACCCAGGTACCTGTGAGACTGCGTTCACGGGAATTGTGTCGACATGGATGTTTAGGGTCTTGTTGTTTTGCACACGTTCGGCATAAGGGAAATAATAACTTGCCTCCTGTGCGATAAGGTAAAACGGGGTGATAGAGGCCTCGAGGTGGTAAGACCCGACAATGAATGAGTCCAAAATAGGATCTGACGTCTTGGAATTGATCGGTAATGATTTGAGGATGCCCTACAGGAAAAGGTCTGTGTTTTAACACGTAAGGGTACAGAGAACAAACGTCTATGTATCTCATTTCTCCTTCCTCACAATATAATCGTGTAGCATTGGTCCGACCTCCATACAAAGCCTCTCGGGGGTTTAAAGGATCTGAAATGTTGAGGTCTGATAAAAAATTCTGTAAAACTTCATCTCTTTGCACTTGTTGATCGAATTCGTGCTCCCAGATAGAGGTGACATTGTACCCCATTTGCTCTAAGACTGATTTCCTTCTTAAA